GCCTTCAAAACTGAATTCAACCGACATTGTTACAAATTTCCTATGTTTGACAAAAATATCCTCGAAAATAACAGTTGGGGACTACTGACTACGATATAAGGTATCCGTACATATAGCAATAATCTCAATAAAAGGTACGCAGATAAAAAGGCTACAAATATCAAAGGAACACAAATTTGTCAGTTGACGGGTAATTCTGTATAAATTAGAAGAATTCAAAAGAATCTTTGAAACAGAATGAATTGCACTGTTCTAAAATTGGCTGTAATATAGCGGCAAGCCACTTGGCCATACTATACTGGAAGACCCTATCATGGACAGAATAAGTCTCAATGGGACCCCAACCTTATGTGTTTTGGGTAAACCTTAGAGACGAGGTGGAATTAATCCAGAGGGCCTAATCAAATTAGAAACGTCAGTAGGCATAACCCCACTTTTAACCCAACTGATTAGGCGTTTTTGGAACATAGCCTCAATAGATGATGCGGAGTAAAACTTATCTATTGGCTCTAACTGAACAAATTTGGAGGTATCCTTAAGAATTGTAATCATCTTTACATAATCTTGATAATCGAGGATGATCACACCTGAGCCTTTATCAGGTTTCGATTTATTACGATGAAGTAATTTAATAATCCGATATTGTTCCTTGTTCCACTTGAATTCTAAAAAGGAAACAGGAAGTATCCGCGTATAAATGCGCTACGTCATTCAACTTTGCCTTAAGGTCGCTTACCTTGACAACAGATTCAGATTGAAGTTTGGCTAATTGTACAAAAAAAGACCGCAGGCTCTGAATAATTCTTTTTTCTCACTTAATAAACGAGGGGTGAATGTAAAAATCCAGTCCTTGCGAGAGGATTGAAAGCTCTAGCATTGACAACTGAGAGAAAGAAACATTCTAACCAAGACGGGAGTTAGCAGGACACGTAAACTTTAGAAATCAAATGCTGCAACATATTCTGATGTTTCCACACAAGTCGAGAACAACTGCAGCATAACGGACAAAACGTCTCCTATTTAAAAAAAAAAATAAGAGAAGTAAGACTATAGTATCATTCCATAATTGATATTTTTTTATATAGTCAGACCAGGCCATAAGATAGCTTAGATAGAAAGTTTCAAATAAATGTCTCTTCTATTTTCTGTCCTGAATGTAATCCTAAAAGAAATACAAGGAAGACAGAATTTGATGGTCGAGCACAAATGAAAAAAGGGCTTTTTAGCCACATCAGTTCTAATTTTACTTTTAATTTTCAATAGCAAATTCAATCTGCTGATCAGTTCAGGTTTGTACCAGTCTTAAAGTATTTGAATATTTTATTAGTGGTACAAAACTTAATAACAGCCATAAATAGACAAAATTTATTTTTTAATATTATCACACAGGAGAACAATTAAAAGAAAAAAAAAATCAGAAACAAGCTAGCTAACGGGTTTCGAACCTGGCTGAACAAAGCCAAATCGAGGTTAATAAATAGGTATACATTATTAATAAAAGGAATGGAGAAGTTGATAGAAAAAATTATTTAAATGGAAATCAACTGGACGAGAGAAGGTTTCATAAATGAAATATATATGGCCGCCAATATTTTTATGTGCTAATTAAAGTGGGACCTACTCAAGACGGAAAACGAGTCAAAACAAAAATTAGCAACACAATTGCGGCTATTTATAATTTGTTCTGCAGTAGAAGACCCGTATATATTGCTCAGAACATCTGATGGCAAATAATTAGAGTTCCGGATTTTTGTAGACACGTGTTATTTAATCCTAATATATATACGGCGTGCGAGAAAATATTATTCAGTGAAAAAATAGAAAAACGGTATGCGTGTTGACATCGCTACATTTAGGGTAATTATTTGCTACACAATCCATCATTAAATTCAGCAATAAAATGCCTACGTATGTACACAACAGCACACATATACATATATATGTCCAGTCCCATACTGTTTACATATGTTTATGTTAACTCTGGTGGGCGAGCGCGTGTGTATGTGTGTCTGCGTACCTCAATGGGTGAACGGGCGTGTATGTATGTTTGCGTAAGTATGAGTGGCGTCACGACGACAATTTTTCCTCCCGCTTCCTTAAAAACACGAATACACGCAATCCTACATAAGTTAATCAGTGTGTCTGACGCTCGCAAAAGCGTGAAACCCAGGATCACAAACTCACATCAATCCAACTAATATATATATATATATATATATGTGTGTGTGTGTGTGTGTGTGTGTGTGTGTGTGTGTGTGTGTGTGGTTAAAGCTTAATTTGTGGTGTTTGTATAGAAAAAATATATCTGCGTCATCAAAATTTAATGGTAGGTTTGAAAAATTAACAAGGATTATATTTAAAGTAAACGTAAGATATATATATATATATATATATATATATATATATATATATATATATATATATATAAAATGGCTTCTAAAAATAAGTTGCTTTTTTTAGAAGCGGATATAAATAATTTAGAAGTATTATTTACTTATATATATTTCTATGATTTTAGGACTGGCATCATTAGTTCACGACCTTATTTCTTATTGTTCATAATAACGATTGTTCTCGTCCGCCATTCCTCCAGTAAAGTCAAGCGGTACCGAAAAAGTTCTACAGAATTACCGAAATAAGTCAAAATAATGTGCTTAATTAGATTCTCTGAAAACTGTAAAATGTAAGGTGAAAAATAGCAAATTTTTAGATATTATTATTAGTAGTAGTAGTAGTCGTTGTTGTAGTAGTGATATTCGGGATAAGACTAATAGTAGTAGTATTAAAACAATTTTAGATAATCATTCAGCTGTTTTCCCCCATGGTAACTCCTATGTATTAATGTGCAGAGTTTGAAATTCAAATGGACATCGCATAATGGTAAAAGGAAATGTAGAAAATTGATGTCTTGGCGAAAATGTTATTTATATAGAAATGTTATAGAACGTGTGTTTGAAGAAAAATAACAATAAAATGTACTGGCTACCGCAGGGATTGAACTCACAGCATTCAGTCAAGGAGCTAGAGATTTTAGCTCTTAGTTGAAATTTCACCCATGTCGACTGGAATAAGATCACCCATGGGAGTTGTATACAAGCCAAGTTTTTTTTTTTTTCACTTTAGACAGTCTTTGGTTTGTTGCCTGAAGTCTTTACGTCTGTCTGATTGGCAAATTATTGGTCAAGTAAGTTGTATTTTGTCTATGTTCGTCAATATAGTATTTATTGTGGTTTCTCTTCGTGAATTCTCGTCTATTATTTTGTTTGATTTTTTTGAAGCGGTGTCGTGGGAATGCCAGCATTATGGCACAGTCCCAGCTTATTGAATCGATACGTACTTCAGCAAAATGAAGCAGACTATTATAAGAGTCTTAAAGGTAAGTTCGAAGAATTTATTTCCGGTAAATGAATTGTTACCGGTGCCGTCGCTTCTAGAGGTGGTGAACACGAAGACTGTTTCCCTTTTGACTCCGGATGAGAAAACGCACAAATTGATTGGTGTCATCAGGGACTGCATGGAGGAATCCCTGAAGAGCCTCAATATTGGGGACAAAGTGCTAGCTCGTTGAAGTAATTCAATGTGGGACATACTGTTGGCAACCGAAGACTCTACAAAAGCTCTGACCGGCAATATATTAACAAAGTCGGTTAGATTGAAAACTGAATATCTGGGAACAAGGAAAACAAGGATGACTTTGCATGGATTGCCCTTGTTCATTATGGAGGGCCACTTGGGTTTCGTCTCTTCAAAAATTTGGACAAGTGAATGATGTCTCTGCAGTAAAAAGCAAGGCGCGGGGCTTGAGAGATCGAAGTAAGGCGGGCCGTCTTCGTGATCTCTTGTTCTTCAATGTGGATGTCGCTGCGATTAAGGAGACACACTTTGTTTGTGCAGTTGATGTTCGTGTGCTGTCTAGCGACTTGTTTTCTATTCAGTATACGGGGACGAACAGGCCAAGGTGTTTCCTTGCAGGTTAAACGTGCCCTGGGTGCGAGGGTGGATCTTGTCCACGTCGATGCGGAGGGCCGGTTAAGAGTTTTTCGGCACTAAATTCATTTTTCTTGTTCCCACGTTTTGTAGTGAAGTTGCCTATGGATATGCTCTATTTGGTTATCGCCCTGGATTGACTGCTATACATAGTATCCTTGTAAAACGCTTCAATTTCTTCATCAGAACTTTTACCAAGTGGGTTGTTTAAGAACTTATCTTTTCCCTAATCTGATTATTACCCAATTATTTATAGTAAAATAAAACAGTAACTGTACCTTGTACAATAAACATTCGCTAGAAATCCTACAACTTTTTCCTTTATAATAAATTAGATGGTTATTTTCTGATAAGGTTCTCATTCGCTATAAGTATAAGTAATATCTACCACATCGTATGTAGTTTTATTCAATTCTATCATTACTTCAATATACATCAGTAGAGAATCTTCGAATTGTTCATCCGTTAAGTTCCTCAGTCGACCATATGTGCTGGAACAGGCAGCACTTAAATTTCACACCAGGCATCAAAGAAGCCAGTTTCACCAATGTTGGTCTATGGACAGTCTTAGCTACTAAATTTAAAAGTAAGTGACATGTATGAGAACCAGAATATTCGTCAGATGGATATATAAACAGCCTCCATTCTGAGGGCAGTCTCTCACACATCGCAGAGGAGATTGTAGTGTTTTTGCATCGGAACTGGAACTAGAGCTGTCACAAAAATACACTGGCTAAGAGTTTTATTTGTTTTTACGGTTTATCAACCTTGTACTGGTGATTTAAATCCAGATAAGGATTTTAGATTGTTAGATGTTTTTGTAGATAAGGATTTACTGATACAAATCCTACTAATTAACTCACAAATGGCGTTGAAAGAATAGATGAGTTCATACTTTTCCCAAGCGTTATATACGTGTTAATAAACATAATGAACCCGATTGGAATTGGAACTCTGCTCCCTATTCTCAAATTCCGATGCATTATTAATTAGAACACCCGCACATTCATGCATATAGCACCGGGTATTCCCAAGCGGTCACCCGCTTAGGTACTGACCAGGCTCAACATTGTTTAACTTCGGTGATCGTACGAGAAAATTTTTCAACATGATATTGGCGTAATTTTTTCTGATAGTAACTGACGTAAAATTGGTATGAATAAAATGTAAGAGTGATTCAATTTTTATTTCATCGGCAAACCCACTACTTTATATATTTACGCTTATATATATTCGTATGCATCAAAGTGGAAACAATTCAGTTTGTATTTCTTTTTCTATCCAATAAAAATAAGAAAAACTAAAAATGTATCTACTAAGTTGTGGATTATTAAAATAAATAAATTGATAAAGTGCTGATTTTCAGTTTAGAAACATTTTCGATTGTTATATATATATATATTCCATTTATCTGACCTTTCCTTTTCGCGTTAATGAGTTTTGTTCCGCAAGAGTAGTGGTTTCCAAACTACTTATTCTCTCGATCGCAACTTGCTCGCGCCTCATCAAATTTCATGATAAAAAGTACATTTAAAAGTAAATCAAAAACAAAAAATAAAAAATAAAAATAACAGAGATAAAGGGAGATAACCGCGTATTCGAAGTCAAAACATTTGTTGTAAATGGTACTCGCTAAGAAATTCGATGCGGAGGCGGGAAACGATGGAATTCAAACGGTTGTGTGGCGGTCGCTCAGGAATCTGTTTCTCTTTGTCGACCAGTTTTTATGTTTGCTGATGTAGTAGATCCAATCTAATTGGATGGATGATACAACAATACATTTAAATGAGACCATCTGGCAAGCTATAAAGGAAATCACTTTCACCCTCAAGATAGTTATTTTTATTTATTTTTTGTTAAGACTATTAGACAGCCACCCGACTACGTGGATGCAGAGTCTACGGGGAACTTTTGCCTGAGCGTACGTGCTCGGAAAGCTCACGTTAAAAACTGTCCTTGTGCCACATCCTTCCCTGTGGGTAGCTCGGGTATATACCGAGTATATTAAAACTTACTTATAAGCGGTACGTATTGTCTAAAAACAATTCAACTACACAGCGTACTGATTGGAATTCATTTCATGACTTTATTTAATATTCTTAACCTTCCTATTGATAACTGTATCACAGAGGTTTCTTCTTGGGCTAAAGCGTTAGTACCTTTGTACCATCTCGTAAACAGCAGGTAAAGCCACCATCTTCGCCGTTCACACCGGCCTGTTCAGCCTCTATAGCCCAGAGAAATCAATTTTTCCTTCTGTTAGTTCTGATCACGGTAGACGCCTATTTGTATCTGCTTACAATAATGTTAAACGTATCCTAAAAGAGGTTACTTCTTTCCTGATAGAATGAGGTACCGTATAGTCTAACTTATTTTCTTTCTCGTGACTACTGGCGGCTGTGTAACAGAGTTAAATAAACGTAAGTATTCTATTCTTCCTATCTTCACTCAATGTGACGTGTTAACATATTTTTCTGATAAATCAATTCTTATCTAGTAAATCTTTAAATTCTATTCTTGGCTTGTCTGGAGTACCTTTTCCTGATTTCCACTTAGAATTAAGTCTCTATTGAGTAATATACACGTAACTCCGTCTATGGTTTCGGCTATCATCTCTAAACTGGATCCTCACAAAGCATGTGGAGTTGATGGTACCCCTGCAATTGTCCTTAAGATTTGTGCTCCTGAACTGGCTCATGTTCTCTCTAAACTCTACAATGCATGCCTTGCCGCTTTTTGCTTTCCTGCTTGTTAGAAATCTTCCTCTAGTTTCAGCCTTTAAGAACTTTGACGAACCGTTTGATCCTTCTAACTATCGGTCTGTTAACCTTCTGCCTCTTTTTGGTAAAGTGTTAGATGCTTTAATTAACTCTGAATTGGTAGAGACGACTTTCACATAAGCAATATGGCTTTCATATCTCTAGGTCAACTGCGGATTTATTAACAATTATTGCTGAAATATTCTGTCAAACTTTAGAAAAGAATAATGAAGCTCGGTCTTTTGTTTTGCACATCTCGAAGGCATTTGACAGTTTGTCTTACTGGTCTTCTTCACATGTTAAAAGGTTATGGTATTTCTGGACGAGTTTTTCAACTGATTCAGTCTTATCAAGTCACGAAATAAAAGTTGTCTTGAATGGCCACTCTTCTAGATCGTTTTACATTAATGCACGTGTTCCCCAGGGGTATATCCTTGGGGCTACGGTGCTCCTAATTTTTTATAAATGACCTTCCAGACGTCACCATTTCTCAACTCTGTAATGCTGATGACACTACTACAGATTCCTGTCGGTTCGATAAGGTAAAATTGGAAGGTGATCTAAAAATTACCTATAATTTGTTTTAAACTGAAGCAAGGAATAGTTTGTTAATTTAACGCATTCAAAACGAAACCGCTGTCTTTTAACCGTTTGACAGGACCATTTATAGCTTTCATCAATATGGTTGATGCTAACCACCAGGTGAATCATTCATTGTGCCTTCTCGGACTAACAATTTCCGCTTACATGAAGTGGAAAGATTGTATTGAACCAACTGCTAGGACAGCTGCTAAGAAAATTGCTTCGCTGTGACGTTTTAGACGTTTTTTTATCACCAGAATCTATCTTTCATATTTGCAAACATATGATTTTTCTTTGCTTTGAATATTGCTGCCACATCTGATCTGGTGCTACTGCTATATATTTAGAGATTCTTGATAAAATCCAAAGAATCTGTAATGTTATTGGTCTTGAACTGGCATCTCGTCTTCAGTCCTTTTTTTTTTCCACGGCCATAATGTAGCTTCTCTCTACCTTTTTTATAAATACTTTCATCGTAATTGTTCTCGTATAATTTCCTCTTTAGTACATAGACTTTATTAATATAAGCGTTGTACTTACTAGATTGGCTGTAAAGTCATTTCTAATACTTATTTGTACTAGTTAAAACCCTGTTAAGTCGGGAGTTCAAACAATTCAGACAATTTCAGATGCTAATTTAATTTACTCTAATACTTTGCGTTTCTCTAGCAGACAACTAGAAAAATGCAGAGTCATGTGTAATTCTGGGATGCTAGTAAAATACAAATTAGTTAACTTTGCTATCTAGGCTTTTTTGCCATCAACGTCATAAGTTAATTCCCATTGTCACCTGTTGTAAAATCCATGCATTCATTTGTTACATTTCTCCCTCAACTAATTGTAATCTACACCACATGGTGAATTACAACAATGAAAATTCTCACTCAGAACAGCCGTCAATCATAGATTTAAATACTGATAAAATCCACACAAGTAAATATTTTACTATTGTCTCATCTTCACCAATACCCAACTTCCAACCAACTCCTTTTTTAAAAAAAAATATCCTCTTCCCTGTACAAAATCTCTTCCTTCTCCTTCTTACCCTCTCAGTTTCCTTAGCCTCTCAATTTCCTTACCCTCTCGGTTTCTTTAGTCTCTCAGTTTCTTTACCCTCTCACTCACCCTCCTCCGCCTCCTTCAAATGACTATAAACAAAACTCATGTAAAAGACACAGGGATTCCGTCATGAAACCTCAAAAGGAGGAAGCGGAGGAAGAGAAACAACAACAATAATTATTAAAATAATAATAATAATAATAATATTAATAATTAAAAATAATGATATTGATGATGATGATGATGATGATCTAAAAAAGAATGTACAGCACGAGGGAAGGCAGTTTCCGGGTCGAACCCGGAAATTCTTGAAAAGGGAAATTTACAGTGACTTAAGGGTCCCGCACAATTTCAGAACTGTTGAGACTGAAAGGAAGACTGTGAAAGAAATCAAACTGTCCAAGTGCACAATGCATTCTCTGCTTGTACTTGGCCTGAGGATACACGGCAAATCGAGGATATACTGGAGAAGGTAAACAAAGCTTTTAAACCGTCGCCTTCGCTGGACGCAGATACGAATGAGAAAGCAAAGGTTTGAAACAGTGTTGTTCGAAGAGGATCCCTTTAAAGATTTCTAATTCCCTTTATAAAACATACATTCGGGAAGGACTTCGAGGGTCTGTCCTAGGACGTCGCAATCCCAGAATAAGATCAAGAATCTCTGGCTTAGACCATCAGCGTCCTCAAATACGGAATGTTTTTTTTTATTTTTCTCAGCTTAACCGATTATGGATCTCTGGTTAGCTAGTCTGGATGACTTATAGCTTAGGTCGGAATCTTAATGAACTCTGCTCGCTCGTGACATTGAGCACTTCAGTGTGGATATGTTGTTTGTAAGAGATTCATCTTATTCTAATGCCAGTGGAAATATTTCTCAGAACATTTTGATTGAGGGATAAACCGCTGTTTGAGTACAGTGTATTTAATTGTCTTGGTAGATACAGCAGGAAAATTGAACATGCCTGATGTTGTCAGCACTTAGAAACCGTTCCTTTTCGTAAGGGAGTTATTCCTGAAGAGGCACGAGGAAGTGCTTTGATTTTTTTTTACGTCGAATCGAAGCTTCCGTGATAGCATCGAAATGAATAATTTTAACGGATAACTGGAATCCTATCTTTAATCCAGATCTAAACCATGGGGACAATATTATGAATACTTACTATTCTTCAGGTGTAAAAGCTTGCCACTGGAACAACTGCAATTTAAATAAATTACTAACAATAAAACCCACTTTAGGTGAATGGCTACAGGGTTACAGGGAATCATGAAGGGAGGAAGTTATCCTTTCTCGACTCCATATTGGACATACTAAAATAACTCATCTATTCCTACTTGAAAAAAAGGAACCGCCATGGTGCATAGCCTGTCATGCCCCATATACTGTAAGACACTTCATGATGGATTGTGCTGACTTTTCATCTGTACGGAAAAAAGTACTACAATACAAAAACAATGAAAGAACTATTTGAACACACCAAGATAGATCATTTAATGGCATATTTAAAGAAAATAGGACTATACAACAAAATCTAATTAAAATAAAATATGTGTACAATTAATTTAATGCATACAACCATTCTAACATGTGCATCAACTTCAAAACAAATAAACTATATTAAAAAAGTGTGATCCCAAAATTCAAAAACTGACTCTTAAATGACCATAATGGTTGATGGGTCGTTAAACTTAAACCAAA